TGTTCTTATAGCATGGAATATTAAGAATGAAAGACAGTTGGGCGTTACACAGGCAGGACTGAGATGAAACCTCAAAATGTGCTTTTTCTTTTTTTAGATCAAAGAGTGATTGGACGCCTGCCCCTCCCAGTGTCAGAAGAATCGATGCAACAGTAATATTCTTCTAGAGCTGCTTGTAGCATTGCAGTTCCTTCCCTGTTTCACACATGCAGGTGTTGGTCAGATCCTTTGTCGTGTTTTGTCTGCTGCTCCTCTATTCAGCAATTTGCTCACAATAATTCACTTCTCATCTACCTAATCTTCCTGTTCACTCTTTATTTAATATTGCCAATTATTCTGTAGTTCCTTGTCTTGCAAGGCCTCTATAACCCTCCTTCTTGGGCTCAATTTTATTCTTTTCCCTAATGTAAACAATCATAGCAAGGGTCTTCAAACTTGACAGCTTTAAGACTGGTGGACTTCAACTCCCAGAATTCCTGAGCTAACATGACTGGAGGAGGAATTCTGGGAGTTGAAGTCCACAAGTCTTAAAGCTGTCAAGTTTAAAGACCCCTGAAATAGATATATTGGATATTACTTATATTATTCATATGGGAATGTGATTATTGTTATATTGTTATATTGTTAAGAATATTACTTATATTATTCATGTGGGAATGTGATTATTGTTATATTGATAAGAATATTACTTATATTATTCATATGGGAATGTGATTATTGTTATATTGTTATATTGATAAAAAGAGTATTATTAATTGTAAGCACATGAAATATGTACCTAATCAGTTGAAATGGAATGCCTTTATTGTATGTAAAAATAAAAAATTGTGGGGGAAAAAGGTTGAAGACCCCTGAATTACAGGATATGCAACAATATTGTACTTTCATTTCCTCGTATCCTTATAGCTTCATGTTTTTAATAGACGTTGGCACACTTATTTGGGATCTGTGTTTTTGTACCTTCATGAGAAGATCACAAATTGGGGTTTAGAGCATGTGGAAGGTGCCTGTAGAAGAATATTTCCCAACCTTAGCAGCCTTTAAGCTGTGTGGACTTCAGTTCCCAAAATTCCCCAGCCAGCATGGGCAACATTTATGTATCACAATTCACATAAGGAAAAGACTGTGTAAACTGTCTGCTTAATAAATTCTCATGGAGGGGAGAGAGAGCACCTGCAAATCATTTCTGCTAGTGCTATCACCGAACTAAACTCAGAATTAATATGAACTTAACTTCTAACTTAATTTGCTTCCAGTATGGGTCTGTTTGGCCAGCAGTGTTGCGGTGTGAGTAGACTCGTATTAATTCTGAATTTGATTCAGCGATAACACTAGGAGAAATGATTTGCAAGTGCTCTCTCTCCCCTCCATGAGAAAATTGGCAATTGGGTTATAATAATGCTATAGACCAGTGTTTCTTTAAGATGTGTGGATTTCAACTCCCAGAATTCCCCAGCCCAGAATTCCCGAGGTTGAGAAACATTGCTTAATTAAGCAACAGAGTATTAAGGAGAGAGATAATTGATTGACTCTGAAAAGATAAGTCAACTCTACACTATAGTGTTTGGAGAAAAATCCCTCTTATCATTAATAGAAATCATAGTTGAGAAGTTTTGTGTGTGTGGAAGAGTGATCATAAATATTAGAAATGGCAAAAACACAAGGAATTAATAGTAAATGAGTTTGAAAGATAGCAGGGCAGCATTCAGATGTTACGTTATGACACTAATTGTGAATAAACTGTCTTATCTCTAATTTTATGGCTGAATATAGAGACAGGTAGTTAAACACTACAAAGGCTTCCATACAAAGTTTCTTTATTGGATTATATCAGGCATCCTCAAGATATAACTCACAGTTATGCTGAGATTCATCTAATGTCCAATCTTTGCATTGTCGTCTTCATAGTGTGAAAAGATAGTTATCTTCATCCCATAATAATACAGCAAGGGAAGAACTCCAGCACATTGCTGGGTCCAGGTAAGAATGACCAAAACTCCACCCAGTCCAACCAGAGGTCAATTCAGTGACCAATCAGGATTACAAATGTGACTACATGACATGAACTACATCTCCCATGAGGCATTAACTACATTTTCCATGAGGCATTCCCTTAAGGGGACAGCTCTCATTCCCAAACTAACTAGATACTGTTTAACCAGCACAAACAGTATTTGGTGTATAGAAAAAGCTAATGAAACCAGATAGTTCAGCCCCATAGCTTATTCAGTATTAGGAGTCTATCGGAAATTCTGGCTGGTTTTTAATAAACCAGTGTCATAATCCACAAGCAAAAGCAGGACTCTAGGATTCCTGTTTGCATAGAACTGCTAAATAACTGTATGCTGAGCCTATTCAAGTTTGTTTCACAGTTTTTGCTGCCAGGAGAAGCCAGGCTGGAGCAATGAAGTACCGTATTTGCCGGCGTATAAGACGACTGGGCGTATAAGACGACCCCCCAACATTTCCACTTAAAATATAGAGTTTGTTATATACTCGCTGTATAAGACGACCCCCCCACTTGGAGGCATGTTTTTCAGGGCAAAAAAGTCATCTTATACGCCGGCAAATACGGTAGTTATTTTGATATTATACATATAAATTCGTATTTACATGTGTCTGTCTATCATTTACCACTAAGACACTGTGTAAGCAACATACTTGCTCTGCTTTACAGCAGTAAAACTAAATTGAGTAAAAAAATTGAGTAAAACTATATGACCAATTCAAACATCCAGGGTAAATTTCATTTAAATTAAAAAAGTAAACAGATAACAGATATTCAGAGTTGGAAGGGACCTTGTAGGTCATCTAGTCCAACCCACCCACCCCCGCCCAAGTGGGAGACCCTACATCATTTCTGACAAATGGCAGTCCAATCTCTTCTTGAAGGTCTCAAGTGATGGTGCTCCCACAACTTCCGAGAGAAAGCTGTTCCATTGGTTGATTGTTCTCACTGTCAGAAAGTTTCTCCTTATTTCCAGGTTAAATCTCTCCTTGTTCAGTTTCCATCCCTTATTCCTTGTCTGGCCTACAGGTGCTTTAGAAAATAGCTTGACCCCCTCCTCCCTGTGGCAGCCCCTCAGACCACTATCATGTATAAACAAAATATACAACTAAATGTAGAAGTATAGAAAATGAAATACAAAATATGGAACACAACAATTACATTTATTTAAAATGTGGATAATTAACTAATCATCCAATATTTACACAGTGTGTATGTTATTCTGTGTTGGGAGTGAAGGATGTTTGAACTCTCTTAGATGGACTGTCTAAAGGAGCGTGTCTCGGAGTAGGCAGGCGTTACTCCAGAACCCTGGCCCTTCCCGGCGGAGTCCCTCAGGCTTTCCCGCAACAGAGTCCTCTTGCAACGCGTCCGCTAGGTCAGCCAAACAATCCCGGCGGGGTCACCGGAAACGCCCTCCAGAAATCCCCGGGGCTGCAGCGGCAGGCGGAGTGCCAGGGGCCGTGGGAGGAGCAGGAAGGCGGGCAGCCTTCACATGGCCCTGCCTGGGGCGACAGGAGCGACCCACACTCTCGCTCCCCCCAGTCGCTGCAGCCTCGGGTGGAGCGAGGCGAGCAGCATTCGAACCTGATTCAGAGACGCGGGGAGGCTCTTGGCGGAAGCGACGCGGGGGATCCGGGAAGCCAGAGGCGCCTTCGCTGCGTCCCACAAGCATCCGAAAGCCGACAGTGGATATATCGTATTTGCCGGCATATAAGACGACCCCCCCCCACTTGGAGGCATGTTTTTCAGGGCAAAAAAGTCGTCTTATACGCCGGCAAATACGGTAGTTCATCTGAGCTCTTTCACTGCATCTAAAATTAGAAACAGTGTGTTTGTAAGGGGAATGAAATTACTACGGATAGTCCTCGACTTATGACCACAATTCAGCCCAAATTTCCATTGCTAAGTGAGATATTTGTTAAGTGAGTTTTGACCCATTTTGCGTTCTTTCTTGCCACAGTTGTTAAAGTGAATGACTGCGGTTGTTAAGGCAGTCACAAGGTTGTTAAGTGAATCTGGCTTTCCCGTTGACTATTTGTCAGAAAGTCGCAAAATGGGATCACATGGTCCCAGGACACTGCAACCGTCATAAATATGAGTCAGTTGCTGAGCATCTGAATTTTGATCACATGACCATGGGGATACTACAATGGTCACAAATGTGAAAAATGGTCATATAAGTCACTTTTTCGAGTGCCATTGTAACTTTGAACAGTTGCTAAATGAACTGTTGCAAGTCAAGGACTACCTGCATTTAAATATTGACAGTGTTGTGACAGCCACAACCTTCTTCAGACTTTCTCTGTAAATCGTTGTTGTTCTGTTCATATTTTCCAGAAATGTGTTCCATTGAAAAAATACAAAGCAAACAAATCTCATAATTTATTAGAACAGGTATTGGAAGTGTCAAGTCAGTAACGCAATTTACAGGCACATAATGACATGATCTGTAATTCATGAAGGGGATAGTTTGAATTAAGCCTTTGCTTAAGTTCCTCTTGCTATTTTCAGACTAGCCTCCCAGACTAATTCCTGGTTCAACTAACCATGCTAACCATGAATAAACCACTGTTGGCTAAATTCATGCCGTGTGCTAATGCATAAATAGCAGTTGATAAATCTCAGCAGCAGGATTTACAAGTCAGGCTAAACAAAGCAACCCATATTATGGCCTAGTTTAGCAAATACATCTGCTCTATGGAGTAGGGCATCTTATGTGACTCTGATTTTGGGAGAAAGCAGTGAAGCCAAGTGGAAAGAGAGCATGCTCCGAAGTACTAAGATCCTCAGGGACCAGGATCTGCTTTTCAGACCCCATAGAAAGCCTGTAGAACAGGAGCAAATTCAGCTTTTAAGCTTCTACAGATCTTTCCATTCTGTCATGCTAAAACTGGTCCTTGACGGGGGTCCGTGAATGTGATAAATACATAGTTTGACCCTCATCATGCAAGATGTTATGCCCCTTCCCCCATGTGCTGCTACTTCATTCTTAATCTGAGTTTACCACCAAAAACTTTTGCATGTAAGAGTTGAGCCACTTCTGCCTCTCCATCGCGGTTAACATCTTACTTTTCTCTCGGAAAGCTGCGTCATCTGCTACCACAATACTCCGCTTCTCACGCCAGCCTGGCACCCATCCAGTTAAATCTACTGCCCCCATTTGGTTCCCAGCAGGTACTGCTTCTTTTCTTGCTAAACCCCATCGCTGGATTTTTTTGTTCTGTCTTTCGTCATGATTGCCATCATCTTGTGAGGCTGTGACATCTGAAGACATCCATTTGAGACTCCAGTCCTGCAGGGTGATGGATGGTGTATAGATGCCCCACGGAAGAAGGTTAGCCTTAAGGTCAATGTTGCTCTCTAACCCAGGATATTGAGAGACGTCATGCTTCCCAAACTTCCTGGAAGACAAAAGACATGTGAAGGTTGTTGTTGTTTTTTAAGAGAGAAAGATTAAAGATTGGTAAAGTTTTTTTTGAGAAAAATGTTGCTGGTGGGTTTTTTTAGACTTTGTTCCAATGTATGTTTCTAAAAACTGCACATTGTAGAATAGAATTACACATCGACCTAGTTTACATAGTACAATGTACAGGTAGTCCTTGACTTATGACCACAATGGAGCTCAAAATTTCTATTGTTAAGTAAGACGTTTATTAAGTGCGTTTTGCCCAATTTTATGATCTTTCTTGCCACAGTTGTTAAATGAATCTGACTTTCCCATTGACTTGCTTGTCGGAAGGTTACAGAAAGGGATCACATGATCCCAGGATGCTATGGCCATCATAAATGGAAAAAAGTGATTTATGAGCAATTTTTCACACTTATGCGGCATAGTCATGTGATCAAAATTGGCAACAGTCTGAATTTTGATCACATGACTATAGGGATGCCACATACGGGCAAAAAATGCTCACAAATCACTTTTTTCAGTGCCATTGTAACTTTGGTCACTACATGAACTGTTGTAAGTCGAGGACTACCTGTATTTCTTTAGCTGGTGGCTTAATGAGTGCTGTGAAACAAATCAGTTGTGGTTTCTTGCCCAGAGAACCAAACTATGATTTGGAAAATGTGCAAATTCAGTCAATATTGATTTACCTTTTTTCTCTCTCAGATGAAGCAAAAAGATCTTTTTTTTAACAATAAAGTGACATCACAAGGTAGCTGATAGAAATAACAGGTGGATAATTTGACCACCAAGAAAAAAAATAATGATTGAAATCCATTTGGAAGTCACCTTCACCTCTTTTTAATTCTCAGGGGTCTTGAACATTACATTCACTTCTGACTCTTCACAGGTAGTTTGAAATTCATCTTAAAGGGCTTTGAAATGTGTGTTTAGATATTAAGTTGTTTTGATTGAAATCCCAAAATATATTTTGGAAAATTTGTCTGGAAAAAGTTAAAAAGCAAAACAAAAAACAAACAGGAGTCAGGGAGTTACAATAGAGGAATCCTGAATACTGGATGAAGCCTGGTCTTAATGGAGACACACAATCTGTGCTGCCAAGATGACAAGAGTTAAAACATTTCCTAAGTTCACAACATCCATATAACATTTGGAAATAGTTCAGATACAACCTCCCTAATTCACTGGAGTATAAGAAGTGGGAGGAGGTACATACATCAGATTTGCAAGGTTCTGTTATTATAATCAATCTCAATAAAATTAGTTTTAGCTTTCCTGTGGACTTGATTTCTGGATGTTCTTAATTAGTGAAGCTGATAGTTGAGAAAACTTTGGACAAAATCCAAATCCTCCTTACTTTGGAAGGAAGATAACATCGATAAAGTTATGGAAGATATGGGCCTCCATCGAGATCCTCTTCCTTACTCTCTACATTTAATCTGCACACATCTAGTCCTTTTCCATCATTTATGGGAACACAGCTTAGATTTTGCTGTAGGTCAGCCTTTGCCTCCAGCATCCTGCTTGTACAGTATCCATCATAAGCAAAAGAACAAGGATGTTCCTTATTAATTCCAGCGAAGATGAGCACCTTTCCATCTGCATATAGAAATTTCATTTCCAACTGCTTTCAACTGACATAACCACTGATGGACCTGTCTCTCAAGTATTTGTAACATCTACATGACCTTCAACATCTCCGATGATGAGGAACATAGTGAGCTAATAATGGCATCATTATGGAATCCCATCAATTAATAATACAGTGACAGATGTTTCCTATGGGCAAACAAACTTCATATATAAACATTCCTCACTAGGTGGGAACAAGATCTCAAAGACTCCCTGGAAAAGCCTCGTGGTATCAGCTTTGCAGAAGGCCAAGTGTCTGATGTGAGGGTGATATTCATCCTGAAAAGAGGGGGAACCAGGCACCACCATAGGTGATACTCCTTAAGGATGAAGCTGTGCCTCTTCTAAAACTTAATGAAAGGAAAGACCTGGAAGCAGGTGGCCCTGTAGATGCTCAGATTTTAAAGTGACAACTGCCAGTGTACTCAATAACCTCTATGGGTCTCAATGGACAACTAGTACCCATAACTATTAGGGTGCCATATTTCAGACCATGTAAAACTTACAAGTGGTGTTCAAGATAGATTCATGTGAGTGGATTGTAATAATCCAAATGGGAGATAGCATGAGGGATTATAAACAAAGCTCCCTGATCTGGAAATGCTAGAATTGCTCTCGATAGAACCACAATTACCACCTGCTCATCCAGAAGCTGTGAATCCAGAAGGATCCACAGATTACAGATTGACTCTGCCTGGGAAGTGTAACCCAGTGTGGAGTCCAGGATATCATATTTCTGGAATCAGACAGCCTTCACACCCAAAGCCTCTCTGTTTCATTGACGAAGAGCCCCTGCCTGTTCCTTCCCATCTAGATCCTAAAACCTTCCAGATATCAAGACAAAATTTCAACCACATCTTCTGTTTATCCTGGTGGTAAGATATATATCTGGGTATCACGCTGCTGATACCTGATTAGGTGTCAGCAAATGATCTCTAGTAATTTCATGTAGAAGATAAATAGGGGGGCTGAGAGTTTCAACCCTTTGGCTTCCGTCTCTGCCTGCCTGCTTGCCTGCCCACCTGCCCACCTGCCCACCTGCCCGCCTGCCTGCCTTTCCCTCCCTCCCTCCCTCACACACACACACACAGATTGACTGTTGAAAAGCATTCCATTTTCTGCAAAGAATGCTGCCTACTGCCAATAATAGTGTGTACAGCAGTCCAGAAGAACATTGATCAAAGGTATGAAAACTGATGAGAATTCAAAGGTATTGAAAGCTGATGAGAATGCAAAGAGGACAAGGAGTATGGTACTTTCCTTGTTCTGCTCCTATTACAAGTTGTCTACAAGAGCAATCAAGATGCTTTTGGTTCCATGCTCAAGTCTAGTTAGAAAGAATCTAGACCATCCATTCTCCCAGAGATCTCCACAAATGGAGCCCTACCAATTTCTCAACAACCTTCTTACAAAAGAGAAAACTGGAGATCAGTTTCTGAGAAGTCCATTAGCCAGACATAACATTAATCATTCTTTTTAAAGGCTCTGAAAGTAATATTTGGCCATCAGATCTTTATGTACATTTGTAGCTATTATCATCCTTATCTTTCATTAAATTCACAATTTTCTTTCAAATTATTTGAAGCAGTGGTCATCTTTACATATTGTGTCTGGAAGTTCTATATGAATGGAATTTTGTCGCTCCAGTTCAACCTTTGAATGAATAGATATTGGAAGCTTACTTTAGAACTACTGAAATCATAATCTCCCTGTTCTATGGATGAGGTTCTTTTTACAGTCTTCTTTTGAAAGTATAAGTAACACCCAGAAGATGGGAAAATGGAAGAGTGCCTTAAAGAATAAGAGCAGTCAAGAACATATATTTGTACACAAAGCTGAGTTAACTTTGTTATCTCAGAGGCTTATATGCAGAAGACTTCGTTCCTACCTTTGCTCGATATCCTTCTCTGTCACCTACTCCTGTGTAAGACCCCATCTGTGTTCCTGAATTTGCACATTTCTCTCTCACTCTCTTCTTGCTAATCATTATCTGCAGAACTGATCCTGTGATCTAAAATGACTTGGCGAAGAACAAAATGGCAGCGAACCAAAAGCTTACCTGCCTAGGGAATGCAATCTTGGCAAGAAGGTTCCTGATGTAAGCAGCCCGCATGAACTAAGAAGGACTATGATGGACAAGATCCCTTTGTGTGCACCAGTTACAGGATCCATTGCTTTGCTGCTAGAAAGAAAAATGGAGAAGAGATCTACAGCAACATGGACCAACATCATGCCCTATTGGTTTAACTACTTACAATCTCTCCTTTTGAAACAGCCTCTGGATCTTTACCCTCCTCCGACTTCCCCAACTCCAATCCTCTGTCCTCCCACACATCAGTAGCCTCTTTCAGGGACATTTATACCTTTCCCTCTCTGCTTGTGACGTGCTCAGCAAGACCAGTGCGAGAGGCTGATGGAGGCATGAGGAACCAGATCAATAGAAAACCAAGTCAACAGTTTGAGGGAAGAAAAGATGGAATGGATCTGGTTGGAATGGATTGCCCCGTGTCATCCCAATCAAGAAAATAATGAGGTAGCATAAGCATGGAGTCATGACATGACTTGTTTAAGTGGAGGAAGATGTAATGAAGATTGTTAGAGGAAGTTTTCTTAAGTAGGAGAAAGGCAATAGTGAGAAATGGTAATAAACAGAATAATGGGTTGCAGGGAGATTGGACAGTTAGATATGTATATTTAAGACATGTATAAAAGGGAATGAATGATAAAGGCGAGTGGAACTAAGAGATATTTCTGTACCATTAAATTTTTACTCAACTTTTCATGTCATAGATTCAGATGATTTTTTTTCTTTAAAAAAAGCTCAAAGCAAAATATGAAAAATAAGACCAGTATTGTATATAAAAAGTCACAAAGGAATTTGTATCATAGCCAGTTTGGTGTAATTATTCCAATGTGAGACAGTGAGTTCTAGTCCTGTCTTAGGCACAAAACCAAGATCTGGGTGACCTTGGACCAGTCACTCTCTCTCAGTCACAGGAAGAAGGCAATGGTAAACCACATCTGAAAAACCTTGCCAAAACCTGCAGGGGCTTGTTTGAGAACTGGGCATGATTGAACAAAAGAAGAAAAAGTAGTCATAAATTAATGCTAGGCCAAAGATGTTTATCTCCCATTAACGTTTTTAACTTCAAAAGGCCTATTAAATAATTTTGCTATAGCAGATCAACATAGAAATCATTCTAAAAATATGTTGTTATAGACCCCATATAGTGAAAAAGTAGTTCAGAATCTAGGAAAATTGCATATCTGTATCATTGTGCTAAGGTAGTTGTTCTGTACAAGTCCATTTACATACTCGTAGCCCCGCGTCGCGATTGGCTAAGGCGCGCGGCGACCGGATTGGTCGAGCAAGCCACACTGATTGGTCCGCTGCGAATCCCCCGCGATTGGTGGAAACTAATCGCGGGAGATTCGAAGCGGTGTCATTGGCCGCGACCGCCGCGGCTCGAGAATAAAAAGCCGCAGTTTTTCCCTTCAAGCTTAAGCTGTACCAGGAGCCAATAAAGAGCTGAAACCAAGCCACTGACTCCGAGCTTCCTTTCTCGACGGACACGACACTGGCGACGAGGGTGGGATCCAGAGAATAACCACCGAGCACGTGTCCCGAGGAAGACAAAGGACCGACGAGATGGCCAGCATGACCCCACCAGCACCCTTCAACCCCGCTACCGAGGACTGGGAATCGTACACGGATAGATTCCTGATGTTCCTCGAAAGTAGCAATTTGAAGGATGCGAACGGGCAGAAGAAAAGGGCCGTCTTCCTCACACACTGCGGGCCCGCAGTGTTTAAGATGGCCAAAGCCCTCGCGAAGCCAGAGGACGTGAAGGCGATGGACTGGGCCGATCTCGAGCCACTCCTTCGGAACCACTACGCCCCCGCGGTGCCCATCCTCATCCGGCGGGATGAGTTCTATCGGCGAAACCAGCGGCAGGACGAG